AGTCCTAGGGTTCTTTATAGTAATAATAGCTATTCTATAAATAGTAGGTTTTAAAATAATACTAATAAGACCTTAAATACTAAGGCCTAAGTAAAAAGATAAGTCTTTTATAAGTTTACTATAACTTAAGATATAGTTAAATATATTAAAGTTAAATAGTATTAGTTTTTAATATAATATTATAAAAAGACTAAAATCTTATTTAGGTTTAATACCTATAAAAGTACTATTTACTTTAAATTAACTAGAGTATTATAAGCTTTAAAAGATAGTAAAAGTAAGTTAAACTAGTTTAAAATCTATAAAAAGACTTATATACTATTTAATATTAACCTTTTTATATTTATATTTATTATTATATTTCTTAATTAAATATTAATACTTTCTATTTTATTAAAATAAAGAAGGTAAATTTATTAAATAGAGTTTAAGGTATAACTTCTAGTATTACTTATTAAAATAATCTAGAAGCTTATAGAAGAAATAGAAGTACCTAGTAATATTAGGTTTTATTATACTATAAAGGGAATACCTTTTAGTAGTTATTATAATAACTAAAATAACTTACTATTTAGACTTTTTATTATTTTATTATTTAAGCTTAATAAGGTTAGCTATAATTATAATTACTTATATAAGTATAGTTATAAAAGCTATAATTATATTATTAGTTTATTTTAAAATAAGATAAAAGGCTATTTTAATAATATAGAAGTTAAACTTTTTATTAAGACTATTAATAAAAAGATATACTATTAAAGCCTTAAAGACTTTAAAGTCTTTATTAAGAGATTACTATTTAGCCTAAGTATTAATAAGTATTATAGTTAGTTTCTTAATAGATCTATATTAAGTAAAGATTAATATTAAAAAATAATTAGTTATAATTTAGAAGATAATAATACTTTTTAATTTAAAGTTCTTTTTTAAGGCTATAATTATATTTAATACTATAACCTTATTTTTAGTAAGGCTATAAGTATATTCTTTAAAGCTTATATTAATAAGAGTAATAGTATAAGCCTAGTCTTATTACTATTTCTAAATAAGCTTCTTTATAGTCTTATTATTATAAGCCTTAGTTAAGATAAAGCTATTTCTTTAGCCTTATAATAGTAATCTATTAAGATTACTAAGTCTTAGTATATTAGTTATCTTTAGCTTTTATTTAACCTAGCTACTTTTAGATTTAAGCTTTAGAATATTTAATACCTCTTTTAATATTAAGAATATAGTATTAATAATAAGGCTATAAAAAGATCTTAGCTTATATATAGAAATTAAGTTATTAATAGTATTACCTACTAAAAGAGTAGAACTTTAAAGTAATAAGGAGGATAATAAGCTAAGTATATAGTCTTTTTTTTTAAACTAAGTACCTTATATTTATTTAAAGGTAAGAAGTATTTAAATAAGTAATAGAAAATTCTTTTTACTAAGTAAGTAATTACTATATACCTTTTATAGTAGTTAAGACTATAAATTATAATAAATAATCTAATAGGCTACCCTAGGGCTAGTCCTTAATATAAATAGTCTTTAGGTAAGGTTATAGCTAGGTTATTAAGAAATAACTTAGCCTATATAGGCTAATATATAGTTCTTATAGTTAATATACTTAGTTTTAATAATCTTTATATTTAATACCCTTTTACTAATTATACTTAAGGCCTATAGCCCTAAATACCTTAAATAAAGATACTATAGATATTTATTAGCTTATAATATAGGTAGTAATTAAGTAGAGTATTTATAACTCTATCCTTTCTTTTATATTAATAGTATTATAATTATATTATCTTCTAAGTATATTAGTAATTATTAAAAAAGAATATATTTAAAGAATATAAGGTTATTAAAGTATATTAACTATTAAACTACTTTACTTTTTATTATATTTTCTTTATATAAGGTATAATTAAAGCTATATAGCTATAAACTAGTAAAGTAAACTAGTACTTTTAATATAATATTAACTAGTATTTTTAGTATTATATATATATTACTTAATATTAAGGTTTTAGATTTACCTTTAATATTTAATATATTTATTATTATATAGGTTTTAATACTATTTAGCTAAAGGATCTATTTACTAGTATTTATAAAAAATCTATTATCTAAGACTTAAATTAATTCTAGGTTAAGAAGTACTATATTATTAATAATATATATACTATTATAGTTATTAAGAAGTATAGATTTATATAAATAGTATTTACTTAGGTTTATAAAAGTTATATTAATAATATAAGCTAGTTTTTTAAGAAAGCTATACTTATTCTTATAATCTTTTAAAAGTTTAAATTTAAATAATATATATATAAATTTATTACTCTTTTCTTTACTACTAGTAGAACTCCTATTACCTTTATACTATATATACTTTACTTTTATATATATATTATATTTAATACTAAAATAGCTCTTAATATTAAAAATCTATTAAGTAGTTAAAGGCCTTATAATATATACCTTTTTATTATTTATTATAGTAAATTAAAGTATATAGTATTCCTTAGGCTTTTATTAATACCTTTTTTTAGTATTATAAGGATATATAAAGTCCTTAAGCTTATTCTTTTTATACTTTTTATTATTATAAGGTATATTATATATAAAAGCTAATTTTAAAGATTATAACTTATTATTTATATAAAAGGAAGTCTTATATTCTAATAAGGTTATTTTTAGTCTTTTACCTTAAGTAATATAAACTTTATTTTTATATAACTATAATAAAGCCTATTCTAAATATAGCTTTATTTTAATAGTTTTAAAGAAATTATTAATTATAAAATAACTATTAATTAATAGTATATTAAGTATATTTATATAATTATATATTATCTTCTAATTCTTAAGCTATTTCTTAATATTAATATTCTTTTAATATATATTTTATAATATACTCTTATAAATATAGTTTATTTTAACCTTTATATATATTATATTTAAAGTAATAATTAACTTAAGCCTTTTAACTAATTAGTAAATAATATACCTTTTTAAGTATTCTTTTTTAAGCTTATTATATACTTTAATTATTAAATAGGGATTAATAAATAATATAATAAGTTTATAAACCTTATTTAGTTTAGTTTTACTTTCTTTATATACTTATAAGGTAATTTTATATTCTTATTACTTTTAATTAAATAAGGCTTTAAATATATTAAATATTTTAAAGTTTATTTTAATAGGTTTTTTAAATTTTATAACTTTATAAAGTTCTATTTTATATATTTTAATCTTTATAAGTATATTAAAAGGGTTTAATATATTTTTAATATTATCCTTTTTTATTAAATTAATAATTATTTATATATTTATTATAAAAGACTAAAAAGCTTAAATTTAAATAAACTAACTTTTTAAATTATATTATTTAAATCTAAATAAAATTATAACTTTAATATAAAATAATATAATAAAATAATAAAATAATAA